TCCTGTTAACAAAGAGACAGCAGCCGTCTGGATTATTCTAGATCCGCAGTGAAACTGCCACACTATGTATGCTCAAAGTAAAGCTGTGCAAGTTTGACAAGGGGCAGATGAATCCAGGAGTTACTGTGCAGGGGTTTAAGTCTATGCGGCAGCTGACGGTTGAAATAATCATCTATATATTGCTCTGAGCTAGCTGGGGAAAGGTTGAAGCTGTATATTTTCAACATATCTAGCCTAATGGTTAATCTGTTGTCTTGTACAGGGAGTGCTGGGTGGAATCACAGCAATAGCTGACAGTTTGGAGGAATTGCTGTGGGTATTTTCAGTTGCCTGATTCACAAAGTGGTAGGTAGCAAAGCCTAAACAGGCTTGTCGTTGAAAGAGGGAAGTCATGCTCACTGTCAGTCCCATCAGAAGAACTCTAGTAGCCAAAAGCTCAATCAACATATTGATTATTTGCATTTAGTAATACAAAGCTGCAACTTGTCTTCACTGACCATGTGAAAGCTGAGCTTCATTGAAGACATGCCAGACTGCAGAACAGTGATTGCTCCTTTGGAGGTCAGCTGGGAAGATGCTGAAGAGAAAGAGAACAGTTAAGTTGGGGGGAGAAATAAAACATTTTTACAAACCAGGATAGCTTAACTGTTAAAAACACTCTCTATACTCCTAGTGCTGGATCTGGCATATCTGTACTGCAACATGGCATTACTCACTGCAGAGATTAAGGGAGTGCAGTATGAATTAGACTGAAACAAAAATGAAGTATCTGCAAGTGACAGCTCTGGCTGATGGCTGACTATGAAGGAAAACACTGTACTAGTGTCTGGCGAAAAACGGTGCTGAAAGCCTAGCAGCTGATAGAGATGGGGGAGGAAGGGAGCAGTGGGTATCGGTGGTGGTTGTTTAGAATGTCTGGTTTGGGTCAGGATATTTTTTTCTCCTTTAAAACACATTTTCATCTTCCCTTCCAGGCAAATCATGCTGAAGCCAGTTTCAGCCATTTTGTTCAAAGCACTGTACTGGTATTCTGCCTTGTTACATTTAAATTAAAGCTCAGCCCAGTTTTAAGTTATGGCAAGTGTATGCTCACAAAGAATAAACAGAGATTGCCACAGGCATTAGATTAACTACATTGGTTGTTTTAAAAATGTTCAGGGGCTTGCAGATTGTATTTAAAATTATCTTCATGATAATAAATAAAATGTAGAGAAATAGAAACAGGCACGTTTCCATAATAGAGACTGTAGGCAAGCGTATATTCATTGAGCTTGAAAGGGAGGTCTTGAGGGTGGGGGAAAGGAATAAGAATGCATGCAGCTTCAAAATATGTTTACATAAATTGCATTAATATCTCACATTTTATAGATCTGATTTTTTATCTGTCTAATGTTGACAGATTTCCTGGGCAAGTTCTCTGCAGCATTTACCAAAAGTAGGTAGTGTCCACCTACGGTGCAATTAGGAAATACTACAGAAAACATGAATTCCTTATTCTTACTCTACTCTTATCCACTTCCTTATTGTTTGCCATGCTCAAAGAGCTATTCAAATTTGCTCTCAAAATGACCAGTAACTGTTTCTATTCTCAGATAACAATGATAAAGCCTTATGGATACATGGCAAGTGTCCCGAATAGTTCTAATGAACTTTGGCAGAATAAGTAATGCAGGCAGCATGCTTGTCCTGTGACCATTTGCATTAAAAATAAAGGTTTATATCTTATTTGATAAAGAGAAACTGATCTGTGACTAGAAAATAGCCTCTTTTAGCAGACTTGCTGGTGCTAAACTCATCACATACTTGGAAGAGAGCACTTGTGGATTTGGAGGTTGTGATTTAACATTGCACAGTGGTACAAGAAGTTAGCCCAATCCAGACAGTTTGGTTGCCAAACCAAGTGAGGCAATGACAGCATGTAAGGATGTATTTAGTTCCATATAATTAACAGCAATCTTTGTTTCCCAGATATGTTTTCTGTGGAAATTGGTCCACATAGTGGTGCAAGCACCCTATCAGATTTTTAATTATTAATAAAAAGAAACCCTTTGCTGAGCAACAGGGTGCTATAAAAACCGTTTTAGGTTCTGCATATTATAATATGTATCTGTAGAAGTGATGGTGTGTTTCTCACTGAGTTGCATAATACTGCTTAATCTGAAAGCATAGTAATCTCTTGTGTTCAAAACTGCACATCTGTGCTGGTATGTGCAGTTCCATGTGCATCGCGACGTGCTTGTGTTTGTGGCACAGGGTGCATGTACAAATTGACAGGCTATTTAGAACAACCGTTTTTACTCGTCTAGGATAAAAAATATGTTATTGTATGAAAGGAATGGAGAAAGAGATAATTATGTCTATCAAAGATAGGTTGTTCAGATATTATACTGTACTCTTTGCTTTTCAAGATTGAGTAAAAAGACATAAGCCATAAACTGTTGGAGTCAGAAAAAAGCTTGTCCTATGAACACGGTACTCCATACTCCTGTACTACGGGACTTCTTCCATTTTCTTCTGAAGCAGTTGAGCTCTTGTCTGAGGCAGGAGGTTATTTCACCCTCTATGGGGTGAAACTGGTCATTAGAACTTTTAAAATCTGGAATAATTTGACAAAAATGGCAATTCTGTTATCCCCAGTGTTTAATGTGTTGCTTTTCAGTGGTAGTACCTAAGTACACTGTTGGAAATAAAAGCAAGTAGGATGTATTTTAAGCAGCTCTGTCTGCCTTCATGCTGAACAAGATCATGTGATGCTATTAAATATGATGCCAAGCTCAAGCTATAAGACAAGGTATTTTAGTTCTGGCTCATGCTGTGACACTGCAAGCACAAGTTCTTGGGAAAGCTTGCTTATATCTGCATGAAATATGCCATAAGACATACATGATTATGGAAGTTTAGTGCTTAATAGTCAGGTCTGGTATCTGAAACCATCACTTATTGTACTTCAGAAAAAACTGTAAAAAGATTATGATGTTTCTTAAACAACTTAATTGGAGGGTGGATAAGCATTATTAATAGGTTTTGGTCTTCTTCCATTGTATGTGAAGGTACTTTGATGTAGGCATTTAGATTTATAAAGATTATTTCAAATATTATTATTATAATAAAGATTTTTCAAATATTATTAAAAATAGAATTGGATTGATGTATTTCAAACTGTTCAAATACGTGCTTGACCAGTGACTTATGTAGTGAGGTAAGTTTCTGCAGTGATATTTTATCATCTGAAAATTGTTTCACTAGAGGAATATCAAAGATAGAAGTTCAAGATTTGCAAACCCCCAGTAACTCCGAGGTAAGATTGATAATTTTCAAGTATTGTATCCAATATGATACACAGCATTTTTATGGAAATTTTGCTAATCAGATATATGCTGTCCTCCAGTGATTTAAAATTTATGTGAAATGTCATGAGTAGATATTATTATCATTCTACTTTAAATATTACTACTATTAGCAAAGAACAGAAAAACATTGTGAGTTAGACACTAATTCTGTTCTCACTGATTTTTGTATTCACTCAGAGCAGTAGCAAGCATCGATTCAGAGATCATTGAATGGGAATGGATACTTTGTCACCAAATAATTGAACCTTGTCAAAAAGTACATACAAATTACTCTTTTATGACTGAGAGAGATTTTGTGCCTAAACATAAATGGAAAGCACATGGATGCTATGTATGTGTCTTTCCCATTACCAGACATATTTCTAGCTGATGGTAAATTAGATAAAGATGCCTAAAACCATGCCAACCTCCTCAAATAATTTGGAGCTACTGTCTGCTCGAAGTTCTCCATGAAAACTTGAAGGCAATTGAAACACATGGAAGTAATACTACAATATTATCAGTCCACGAGCTACTCCCTACCTAACCTCCTCACCTCATTATATATAACAGAATATAAGGTCTTAGTGAATCAGTAATATACTTTCTTCTCTATAATATACTCTATATATTCTCTATAATATATATAATGAAAGGACAAGGGGAAATGGGTACGAACTGGAACACAAAAGGTTCCACTTAAACCTGAGAAGAAACTTCTTCTCAGTGAGGGTGACGGAACACTGGTACAGGCTGCCCAGGGAGGTTGTGGAATCTCCTTCTTTGGAGACATTCAAGACCCGCCTGGACACGTTCCTGTGTAACCTTATCTAGGTGTTCCTGCTCCGGCAGGGGGATTGGACTAGATGATCTTTTGAGGTCCCTTCCAATCTCTAACATACTGTGATACTGTGATACTCATGCAGAATGAAATTAGCATTAGAAGATCATTACTGCATATTTTTACCAGAAAAGCATTTTGTAATTGTCTTTTATGGAGTTTATAATTTGTTAGTGGTGTAAAAATGTGGGATTTCTTTGTTTAATTAGCTTTGATATATTAGTAATGGAAGACTAAGGATCACAGTTTTAAGATAAATCCATATTCAGAAATTAAATTTATTAGCTTTCTTTTCAGAGGTGCTATGTATGACTCCTGAAATTTACAGTATTCAGCACTTCTGAATACCCGACAACTTTTATGTAGGCTTCTAAGCATCAGTTTAATTCCATAAGTATGCTTGCACAATTTTGAAGTCTTGGCCTTACTTTTTTCCACGATTCTTTATTTATTTTAATAGCAGCAGAGTGCTCTACCTCCCTTGTCATTTTCAGTGGATTCAAAGGAATAAACATCTTCCACAGCTAGTGTATCTCAAAGTCTTTATCAACATGTGGGAAATGTTTCCTCAGACAGTTACCCTATGATGGGATTATTGCTTAAAGATGATAATATTGTGGAATGATCCTTTTATAAGTATTCTTTTATAAAATGGCATTTTTAGAAAAAACACTTGAGATAGCTGAATAAGCCTTTATTTCAGGAGCAGAAACTGATACTTTAAGCTTTAAAGTTTGTATTTCCACATAATATCAAAACTGATTCATGTTTGTAGTTTGAAATAATTTTTAATACAAAGACATTAATTCAAACTTTTTCTTATTGTTTAGAAGTAAAGAATGCAGCTAGATCAAGTTACCCAAAATGTTCATATCAATTCAAGAATGCAACTGCTAATGCATTGGTTGGTGCCAAGTCCACTGAAGGAGTCACGGAACCTGTTCCACTTGTTAATAACCGTAAAGGGAGCCTCATCCTACCCAACAACTTATTGAGTTCTGTTGAACAAGGAAAATCTACATACTGTAGATTGCAAAGGGCACTCAGCTTGCCTGTAAAATACCGCTACCACTCCCAAAAGCCTGGGTTGAACCAAGATCTCCGTAGGTAGCCTTGTAGCTGGATGCATAAAGCAATATATACTGGTTTGTGCATGGTCTTGCAGTCTGTTTTCAATGTGACTATGACATTACTAATGCTCTATTAAGTGCTTCCAGATGTGGATTTCTCCAGGTGTGGTGATTAATAAGTTAATTGATTTAGCTAGTCAACTAATGTTTCTGGGTGGTTTGTGCTTTACCTTTCATAAGGATTATTTGCTCTGAAGAATTTACATGCTAGGCAGAATGAGTTTACCAGGTATTCCAGTCCATGAGATGTAAAATAACATAGATGTTGTTTCAAATCCTGTATCTTTTGGGTATGTAAAAACAGTGTCTGTAAGCTGTTCTGCTAGTGACCTGCGAGAGGCGGTGAAGGAGACAGGTTTATTTAGAAAATAGTAACAAAATGAGAAAGAAAAAAGCTATGAACTTGTTGACTGTTTCAGAAAGACATTCCCTTCATTTTGCTTTAAAAATGGAATGAGGATAAAAGTCAAGTAATATGTTGTTACAGATGTTCAGTTCCACATTAAGGCTGTAAAAATTACCAGCACATCTTAAATCAATTCGTAGAACATTGTCTGGATATTATGTCACTGAAATTATGAATCCTCTTTGCACAAGAATAAGTAAACATGTTAAAACAGTGTAACTTTTAAATTAAACTCCAGTATAAACTGAAGCATCTGAAACCTCATTAGGCTCGCCTGACATTTTTCTAGAAGTGAGTCTTCCTGAACTGTAAACCTGTTAGATTCTTTGCCTATTAGACAAGTGAGCACTGGATTGTTACAACAGTACATAATGTGTTATTATACTTAGGGATGCACAAACAAGCTCTTGAATTTTGTTAGAACTCGGAAGCTGGAGTTCTGATTCTGTAAAATTCTGTGTCCAGTTCTTGAACTTATTTGAAATTTTGATGAAAGCTGGTGAAAAAAAAAAGTCTGCATAATATAACTGTATTTTAATGGAAATCATGCATAAAGACATCAAAATACTAAAACCAAGGACTTATTAACAAAAACACTAGGTCAAGCATACAACATCAGAGTTGAGTTGTCATATATCATTTTTGAAATATGCTTCTCTTTCATATGAACAAGCAAATTTAGGACTCCATTTTAAATGAATGCAGACACAGGAACCATGAAAAAAAAATGACCTTTTATGGCTTTACTAAAAATTTTGTTAGATCTGTTTTCTTAAATATGCAGGAAATTGCTAAGAGTATCTGAAGGATAATAATTAAGTATGTTTTATGTCCTACTTAGTACTAAGAAGCCACTTGTGAGTTATCATTGCAACACTTTCGGGAACCAAGCCATAAGTAATGGTGTCCATTATATAACATTCACATATTTCAGCTGCATGGATTCCCTTCCCCCATTATTATGGAGCTGCGTTTCTAATATGCAGCTGCCCTTTAAAGTCTATGCACAAATATCACATCCAAACAAAATATTGTTTGGATGTGATATGATTAAGATAGATCACCTTTCATTGCTGCAATGAGAATAAATGGCTTCCTTGCTTAATCAAGGCATTGCTTTAGCAACAAATTGAGATCTCTCAGAAGGCTTTTCTAACAGATACTAACCAATGAAATACATTAACCTTGGACTTTCCAGGCAGTTGGTGACAATAGCATAGTTTGGATATGACAAGCATGTATCAAAAGAGGGAGCTTATTTGTTGTAGATGCAGTAACAAAGATAAATGCAGACTGCTAGAAATCTAATTGTAAAAATGGTTGTTCTGTTTGTTTGATACTAGTAAGACTTTGGTATTTAATTGGACATCAGGATAGCAATTGGCCACACTGGAGAACGCAAATGTTGGACCATGCAGTACAAAAGATACTTATTATACTAACTTGCAGTATCTGTAAGAATCAGACAGGAGTCTTATTAGCTAGCTGAAAACTTAGAAAATTATTCTTTTTTTAACAGTGCTTTCTGTTGTTCATGGAAATATTTCTGTTTGTAATACCATCTACAGTTGACTTGTGTTAAGATTTTGCACACAATCCTGATGGCTATATATTTTCCTTAAACTGTTAAAATGGTGTAACAATAGACTTTGCTTATGGTGCAGTACTAAATCTGTCAACAAACATTCTGTAATCCCATGGAAGTAGATTAAATTAAGTGAAATTTAGAACTTTTTACTACCAAGAGAGCAAAATGTATCAGTTGTAGATGGCTTCTGGAAGGAACATTTTGCATGTTTCTTGTTTTTTTGGTCTTTTAAGTGGTGGATTCTGAATATTTCTATCCTATAAAGAACAAGAGAGAACAGTGTACGTCTTGAAAGCAACATATTGTCTGTATGGAATAGCACACAAATAACTTTTTGATAGACAAGTTTAAAGCAAGACTAGGCCATTTCCAAATGAGTGATTTGCAGAGGGTATTCTGGTACTTTGTTATAATCATAATAGAAATACAAATATAGTAGAAATGGAAATAAAAAAATAGTACTAAGAAAATAATTCTGTGCATATTCATATTACAAATAGCTAACTGCTGAAGTGATTATCTTGATCCAAACAGTCACAAGGAAAATTTCAACTTGTAGATTTTTGAGAATCTTCTATGGGCTTATTTATCTCTCTGACAAACAAAAAAGGGTACTTGACTAGTCAGCAGTAAGCATTTGCACTATAGAACCCTGACTTTGGAAAAAATAAAAGTCATATGTGAAGAAAATGGCTTTGTCTTTGGGGATGGTGCCTGAGAAGAAAAGAAAGTTAAGTTAGGGAAAAAAAATTATTATTGAAGAGTCATTGCACCATTCTTTGGGTATTTTGGGGGAGGTCAGTGGCATTTTTTTAATCTTGTTTAGTTTTTCTTCTGTGATATTTTCTGTTATTTTGATTCCCTTGACTTGTTAGATGATATCAAATCAGTTAAAAAGTCAGCACATCTGCTTTTTCAGAGCCCAGTCTTTTGGTCTTGACAAGGTAAAATGAAATGCCATAGCCAACTTGGGCAAACAGACACGATGGCCAGAATTCAGCCTGTAATAAAATAGTGTCAGAAGAGGGTTATAGCAGAAGGATAGTGCTAATTTCTTCCCATACAGGCCCAGGGTAGATGACATACATCCAGGTTTTGTTGTTCTTCCTGCGTAGCTTGTTGCAGATAGAATTTATTTTTTTTTTCCAGCCTCTGCTTGTGCACTGCTAATGTGTCTTGAGATCTTGTAATATAGCTGCTGCTGCTACTACTACTAATAATAACCTCTTTCCTTTGAGCTTTAAAGTAACAGCTTCCTAGGCATCAGTTATATTCTAGTACATTTTTTTCAGTTAACAATAGGATGAAAAAAGGTGTATTTTTCTTTTTATTTGAATAACCTAGTGTTAGTATGAATTTGAGAAAGCAGGCATAAGATAATTCTGTTTGATAGCACACGCAAACCTCATGTGCAGATTATCAAGTGCGGTAAAAATCTTGAAGCAGGAAAAATGATGGTTAATTGTTACAGATGAGTTATTCAAAACTGCACTTCTTTAAGCAGTGTGTATTGTGGCATAGATTATCCAAGAGTAGTTTATGATTGGCAAAACTCTATGTGATTTTACATCTGGATCTGTCATTGAAAATGCACCTCATCTTCATTAAAAAATTGCATAACACATGCATCCTCTGTTATACAGGTATTGTGTCCCCACTTCCATTCAACCTCATTCTGTTCACTCCTGTTAAAACTCCCTTTTGTGAGAAGGGTAGAATGATGAGGTCTGACTTGTGCTGGAGATTTCTGCACAATGGCAGGCTGCATTCACATTCTCAAGTAACTGAATCATTGAACATCAAGGCATTGAATATTTTACATCTCTTCGTGAAGACTCTATTGTTTGGCATGTGAGCAGCAAGAACCAACTGGTGTCTAGTTCATTAGCAAAAGCAGGCTGGCAGCTTTGTCTTTCTCTTTTAGTACTTTGTCTTTCTGGGACTATAGCAGAGCACTAATTCTACTTTTCTGTAGTGCAGATTAACTGAAAATAACTCTTAAGAATAACTCAAATGTTGTCCCCCCTCCTTTGTTTTTGAAGTATGAAACCAATTTGAAAGCCTGTGTTCAAAACCGTGATATTCTTCCCTGCTTCTCCTTCAAACCAATCTCTTTCACTAACATGTATTTGATTTTTATTACTGTTGGGCCTATGTTAGCAATGAAGTATCAGTGCGTGAATGGAGACAGAGTGTGTGTTCTTTGCTACTTCACTTGTATTTCACATTGCACTTAGATCAGTACTTAATCTCATGAGTTCCTTATATTTCCAGTTGAAGATGAGCAGCCGTCAACACTATCACCCAAAAAAAAGCAGCGAAATGGAGGCATGCGAAATTCACCCAACTCCTCACCCAAACTGATGAGGTAAGACTGTAAGAAACTTGTATCTTCATCTCCTTTCTTCCTTCCTTGCTCTTCTTCTCCCCCCCACATCAAAAATAAGGGGAGAGGGGTAGAAAAAAAGATTGTTAGATGTGTCTGAAAGGCTGAAGTATTTATTCTGTCAGCTTGTCAGCAGTTAATGATAGAGCTGAAAAAAATTCTGTCATAAAAAACAGTTTGAAAAGCTGTTTGAAAAATACATAGGCTTTAAAGTCTTAGCTGTCACCCTGTCCTGTCCGTGTGTAGTTCTTAAACAGCAGTGGCACTAATGATAGCACTAACCAATCAGGGGAACTCATGTGGTTAGTTTGCCTCAGGCAATTCTCTTTTTGTTGGATTCCCTCTGAGTACTGTTTTCTGTACTTAAGGCCATATGTGAGATGTATCATCACAATCAAAAATGAACCTGAATATTACCTTCCTTTTATCCTGTCGATTGAAATCAAATTTCTGTTAATTGATTTAGACTGATAAAAAAGTCTAATAATCTATGTACTTGCCAAAGCAAAGTTCAAAACTAATGCAATTTTAGTCAGGCTAAAAGCACATTAATTATGAAATACAGGCATTTTTAAGAGGGTAGTGCATACTCTGAAAGTGGGTGATGAAAACATCATCTTGTTAGTGATGTTTTCCCCCTGTTGCTATGTATATATTATTTTATACCAGTAGGCCTTTCTATGATTATGTAGTTTTCTTCCATAGGACAAACTGCCTCTAAGAGATTTGTTAAAACTAGAAAAGCAGCAAGGAATTGGAATCTATTAAAATAGTACAGCATTTGCAAAAGATGCTTCACCTTTTGCCTGCTCAGTCAGAGCAGGATCAGAGAGTAGACATGGAGTTTCTACAAGGAGGGTGTTCCTGCTCTGGTTTTGCATACCTAAATAGCTAGGCTGGAACCTCAGTCCATAGTTGTATCCAGAACTCAATATCATAGCAGATATTTTCCACTGCACATATATATATATATATATATACACACACAGAAAAATGTAAACTTATTTATATACATAAACAGACACATTCAGTTTGGGTTTTGGGTGTATGTGTACCTATAACTGCTCTCTAGTCACAGGAGTTAAGTGAAAAAAAAACCATAATGTGAATATATAGTTCTTTCCATATATAAAACCATTGATGAAATTTATTTTGTCCCTTTAATGATTCTGGCTATAGGTAAGTAATACCCTTATTTGTATTTCAGTCAGTTGACTAGAATTTTCTTTGGCCAGTTACAGAAGCATCCATTTTACAGTTTATTGTTACTGCAATATAAGGTCTATTCAAGGACATGACTTCTAGAAGTCATCTTCATCTCTGTTTAGAGTACAGAACCGAAACTGAGATTGATTCACAGAGGAAAATGCACCTGCTTTAGTTTCTTTTTCCTATTGACCATCTACCTCTGTTAAACGTGTCATTAAAAGTTTTCTGCCTTCCTGTTAGCTCAGCCTTGCCCATATGACACTGATTTACATGCTTGTTTACAGTTTATGAGGAAGAATAAAATGAATAAAATGAACATACTGGCAAGCTTCTCATTTTTATGGTGCCAGTTGTCATGCTAGCCTCATTTTCAATTTACTTACCTTTGGACAGACTTCTTATCTGGTGCTAATAGTTTTAACCTCTTAAAGTTTTAAACATGTGGGAGATTCATCCACACACACCCGCCAAATCCAAATTTTGTGGAAGAAGAAATAAAAGGAAAGAGAGGGGAAGAGAGAGAGAGCTGAACACACTGTCCCTGTTTGCTATGTAAAGTATGCCTCATTTCTTTGATCTTGAGTAATAATAATTCTGGGGAGTTATACTGTTTTCATATGCTTCAAAGCTGTGTCAAAGTTTTGCTGCTTAAGGGTACTTCTTTATTCTATTGGCTCTTGGGTACTGAGATGACAGGTCCTCTGTACTAGGTGCAGGCTTTTTCAAGTCATAGCCTTCAGCAAAACATCAAATTACGAAATACAGGGTAACATACTTCTACACAAATGCCTTTCCTGTAGATATATTATACCATATATATTAAATACTTTAGTGTTACATGGTACATTTTATGTGCAATAGAAAGTGATGGTTTGAGGTAGCCTTAGGGGTACTTTTTTCCACAAGCAGAAAAAGCTAGTGTATACCGTATCAAGTATGGTTTTTACAGGACTTTCTGCCCGAAGGCCTTTGTAAATAAGTAATGATCAACAGATTGGCTGTGGGTTTTTGAAAAGCATGCCTGTGTCAGTTTGCATGATGGGGGAAGATTTTCAAAGTGGAGCCTGCTTTCATTGCCTGCTGAAGAGGGACTGAGGGAGAGTAGTCATCCTGAGCCTGAGCTGTCTGCTCAGTAGCACATCAGAATTGCTAAACACAGGCCGAGCAGCAAGTGGAGAACTTGCCAGGCTTCCAAATCCAGACATTGTTTTCTTCTTCTTCTTCTCCCTTGCTGCTAAATTTATTCACCAGCCCTGTGTTGGCACCCTCAGCCTCTCCCCAGACCCAACCTCTTGTCTCTTCACCTTACCCTTTATCTACACTGACTTAACTTTGGTTAAGGTGCTAAATAAGACAAAGTGGATTGAATCGGAAGAGAACTCTGTTAAGCTTTGTGTGTAAATTTCTCCTTTCTGATAAACAAAGGTGGGCTATTTTATCTGCTGTTTTATATCCTTGTGAATTACCTAAAGTGACAGGTACTTGCTTTCCTGCCCAAAAATTTTTAGTGTATGTCAGCTAAAGAGGTACACAAGAGGTAAATCAGCTAAAGCATTGTCATATCTGTAGATGATATTTATCTTTAAAATATTTTTCCTAAATTTACTTTAAGAACTCATTTTCAAAGCCAGCTTCACCCCTGTTCCTCCCACAGAAACAGGTGGCTACTTATTTTCCTCAGTTATGGGCCTGGACCTAGAGGGGGCCTGAAGGACAAGAAGTCTGGGGCATATAAAAAAGTGAAATATGTGAAATAGTTCATTTATAATAATATGTGAAAAGTTCATTTATAAATGATAATGTGAGTTGTGACTTTAGAATCACTTTCTGAACAGCCCTACAGTTAAGATAATGTTGAAAATGCTTGTATTTCCACAGTGGGGGTGCAAATCAGGAAAGAGGGTATTATGCCATAGGATAAAACTTTATGACTTTGCCGTCACCAGAGTAGAACAGGGTATGAAAGCTATATCATAAACATTCCCTGGGACATTGCGAGAGGAGGTCTGACAGGTGCTTATTTAGACTTGGTCAAACAGAGGGAATTTTGGGGTTTTACTCACATGTAAGTAGAAAGCTGTACTGCCACATATGATCCAGATAGATAGATGGAAGACATCTTTTCAGTATAATATTTTTGATGTTATTGTCTCTATATGCCAGTATATTACTAACTGAAATAAATAGATGGTAGGCATACAAATGTTCGTTGTATACATCACAGATGCTCTCTATTCACATTTAGAAAGTCACTGTTCTAACTGAATCCTGCATCGCATCAGATAACATGAGCAGAATCACACTGATGCAATAGTGGAAGAATCTAAGCAATCAGAAATAAAACTTTCAAATTCCAACTATAGCTACAAATGCAAATTAACTAGAAAAATGCTCTGCATTGTCATTATTATTCTACCTGGTTTACATCAACAGAATCTGTCCCATTAAACCCACAAGAATATGGGTATTATTTAAAAATAGTTTAAACTCCAGTAGGAAAAACTGGTACATCTGTAGCGATGTGAACACAAGCACATCCTATTACAATGAAAAGTAAAATTTAAATAGGAAGTAGAAGGAAAATGAAGGAAAGCTCTGAGTATCAGACTAATCACAAATCAGGTCTCCTTCCTGAGACAGAGGAGAAAGTTAGAACCATTTGATGCCTCTGGTGTCGTGCAGTGATATCAAATCACCTGTTCATCGTCTCACAGTCACAGGGTTTGGTGCATGTTATTGATGAACAGCCATGTTAACTATGAGGCTACATTGCCTGAATATCAAATAGCAAAGCTAGTTTCTGTTTTTGTTTTGGTTTAGTATTTTTTAATATGTCATTTTTGATTCCAGAATGACCAGTAAACATGTGAAAAGCCCTGGATATGAATAAAAAAAGCCACTTAAAGGGACTGTTGCTGGGGCTCAAGTCTGCACTTAATGCTTTGGTAGCTGCTACTGCATGAGTGGAATACACTGATTTGAAGGAAACGTCAGCCCAGCTGAGTCAAAGTACCTCTTAATGCAAGAACAAATAGCATATGACAGGGCCCAAGGGGCTTGAAGAGCAAACATAGTTTGTCCCTGTCCACTCTGAATGTAGTGGTGTAGTTGACACAGCATACTCAGCAAAGGGTCATTATCATTAGTGTCCCTGATCACATAAGAATCAGAGGCATCAGAGGACGCTGGGTTTTCAGTGTGTTGCCAAGGAGAATTTCATAAGCCTGAGGATTTTTCTTGATCCAGGATCTAAAATAATTCCCAACCAAACTATAAAACTTGCTCAGAGACTGTCAAAACCCAGCTAAGTGACATGAAAAAAGTGACCTTTTTGGCATATGATTCCAGAAACGTAGTGAGATTTATCTGAAGTTGAGAGGAAACCTCCTGTCCTTTTTCTTCAAGTTGGATATAATATTTTAAGTATATGAACAATGGCTGCACACATTGTCTCCTCTGCCCACCCAGCTACTTGCATTTAAATGTATATACACATTTCTGCTAGTGCCACTCAGGGTGAATTTGTATTGCCCCTGCCACTGTAGTGCTGCCATTCCATGAGCTGAAACTGAGGTTTCTCATGGAAACCGAAAGACGTAATGGAAGATCTGGAGGGCAACATTTCTCAAGCAAAATCTGGTAAAATACGTTCAATCTGATGATTTTCTATGACTCTCCAAACCAGGCATGAAAGTAAGATTTGAAGAGGTGAAAGCTAACTGATTAACCACAATAATGGTTTATAATGATGTCCCTCAGCCTTGGAGATTTCT